TGAAGGCCGTGGTGGAGGAGTTCAAGGGCCAGGACTTGGGGTACGCGCAGGATACCTAGCTAGGCTCCGTAGGGCCTCCCGGCAGCGGGTCCGTATCCGTGCAAGCCCCGGGACAGGCCTTGTATGGAGCCAGTGCCGTGTTTTTGTTTTTCGTACCACTCCAACATAATCGTTGTATCATATACAATCGTTGTATTATATACGATCGTTGTGTTCAATATAATAGTTCTTTTCCATACAATCGTTGCGGCCAATATAATTGTTGTGTTCAATATAATCGTTGTGTTCAATATAATAGGAGTATCATTACAATCGTTGTCTCCAATATAATCGTTGTGTCCAATATAATCGTTGTGTTCAATATAATCGTTGTTTTCAATACAATCGTTGTGGCCAATATAATCGTTGTGTTCAATATAATAGTTGTTTTCAATACAATCGTTGTGGCCAATATAATCGTTGTGTTCAATATAATCGTTGTGCTCAATATAATAATTGTTTTCAATACAATCGTTGTGCCAATATAATAGTTGTGTCCAATGTCGTAATTGTTGTGTCCAATGTCTTGCTCGAGGCAGAGATAATTAGTGTAGCTCTATTCTAGGAAGGTGGTGCATATGCCCTTGGTCCCAGGCAGCTCATTGTCCGTTCAGTGCCTAGTGCCTGAGCCCCGAGAGCAAACTGGAGCTTCAAACTGCCGCTGCCGCTAATAAAGCCCCATTACTTTCCGTTTTTGTCTCCCTCTGATTTTCCTGCGTTCTTGTCACCTGCTGCCCTCGGCGAAATGACCCTCACCTCGGGCTCGCACTGGTTTCGCGGAGCACCCGAAAAACCCACTGCTCCGCTCAGAGCACTTCAAAGCAATGCCAGGGCAACATGGCCACGGAAGATCTCCACAAAAATACAGTATGTTTCCCGGATCGGCCGCTTGGGGCACGCGAGAAGCAAAATATATCATATTGCTTACTCAAGCTGCCCTCGTTTGGTGGGGCCAGGACTCCCAAGAGAAGCTCAGGGCCCATGATACCCATTCCCCAAGTACTAACTATCCAGAAACGCAAGAAAATATTCTGGGCATGCAACCACTGCAACAAGGCTCACATCACGTGCGAGGCGGCCCGGCCGTGTCTGCGCTGTATCAAGAAGGGGCTTCAGGATACCTGTGAAGACGCTCCCCGCAAAAGGAAGAAGTACTTGGCCGACATCCCCAGTCCTGTGGTTCTGAAAGGCCATGAAAAGCCACACGCAGAAGGGAGCACCGCAGCCGTTTCCAAAACGGTATGTGGTGTGGACATGATGCCCAGCATCAAGGCCGAAGCGGGCCTCAATCCAGAAACTGCTCCTCATATGTTCAAGGCCACTCAGTTCCAACAAAGCGCTTCGCTTCCGGATTACTTGGCTCAAAGGCAAACCCACTTGGCACGCTCATCTTCCGGGAACGAACCGGGCCGAGGGGCTCCTCTGTCTCTATTCCAAAGACAGCGCTATGATGGAAGCTTTTACGCGGGCCCCAGAGACCCGAGCAGACGCGACCCGGGCCAAACCCATGGAGGCCAAAATCAAGCTTTCAAACAAGTCCATGGGCAGCATGTGCTTTCTGCTCCTCCACAGGACCAAGACTTCCCGGAGAACAATGAGTTCACGCGCAATCTTCGGGACGCAGATCTTCAGGGCCAGACAACGTACAATGAGCAGCACGCCGCCTTAAACCAACAGAGCCATCCAAACTATATGGCCCAGAGTGGGACTCTGGGCGCTGCGCCGGAGAAAAAACGAACCTTCCTTTCGTCGGCCGCAGATATGGAGTACACGACGTTGTCCAGTATTCTCCAAGATAATTTCATGGGGGTGAGCCAAACACATTCACTTGCTTCAACCGAGGGGACGCCTGCTTCTGTCAACTTGTCTCCCAATTTATCTCCACATGGCTACAACGAAATGCAGAAGGTCCCACACTCGCAAGCTTTGGCGGCCCCGTATAATGCCACTGACTTCTCTCCAAATTCCTCTCAGCTCGAAGACCCCAAATACAATGGTTCGGGCATGAAAACAAATCAATACCCCAGCCTTTCTGAATTTCCTCCGTTTGACGCGAGAATCAATCAGTATTTTTTGGGCAACACCTCACAACATACAAATGTTACTTATCCGGAAGTCCGCGAGGCAATGGAGAATCTCAAGCAGAATAGCCCGGCGCAATATTTCTCGCGGAGCTCGAAACTGTCACTTTCATTCACCATGGGCTTTCCGCCCATAATAGAAACCAGCCGCAACTTGTTATTCAATGACCCCGAGGAAATCTACGTCAAGATCAAAAAGCCGTTTTCATATACCCCGGGGTTCCACAAGTTGATTGCGTATCTCCGAAGCAGGTTTCCGCGAGAAATGTTGGTCAAAATGGCCGAGTCCATGGCGGTGTACAGACCTTCGTTCATTGCGTGCACAAATTCCCTACGAGAGTCCGACCTAATTTTCATGGAACAGTGTTTCCAGCGGACGCTCTTGACGTATGACAATTTTATCAAAGTCAGTGGGACGCCTACGATCGTCTGGCGAAGAACGGGCGAAATAGCATACGTGGGACACGAGTTTACCACGCTTACAGGATGGACGCAGGATCATTTGCTTGGAGGCAAGCCCACGTTTATTGTCGAGTTATTGGACGACGAGTCCGTCGTGGAGTACTTCCAGCTTTTTTCCAAGATCGCCTTTGGTGACTTTCTTGGTGCCACCATGACCGAGTGCACGCTCCTCACGCCTAAGCAGAATGTCAAGATTCGTGCTGGGTGCAGTTGGACCATGAAACGAGACGTGTTTGGCATCCCCATGATGATTGTCGGGAACTTTCTTCCCATCCTCTAGGTCAGCGAGAAGACAAAACATTCCTCGAAATCAGCATATAATTAACCCATATTTTGCATCTGACTTGAGGTCGTTATTATGACCTGTTGGTATTTTTTGCACCCACCCCATACAAATATGTATGTTCGCACCAACCGGCCACCATGTACTCACGTGATGCTACCGCAGCAACATAATGCGACCCGTTTGGCCCTCCCGTCATCTGGCACAGCCGATGCACAGATAACACAAGATACACCACAACGCACAAAGCACTTAGCACTTAGCACTTAGCAAAGCAGAAAAAGAAACGGAGATCCTCCTTTTCCGATATCCATATCCCATCGCTGTATCTCTCATGAGAGCAATGGCGGCCGCACGTGACTCCTTGACTGTCAAATTGATCGTCACTGTTAGCACGGTATGTTTAGGCTCTCTCCAATTCGGCTATCACATGGCGGAAATGAACTCTCCAGGAGCAATTCTTTCTTGTAGAGCCGACGTTCCTGGTCTGAATCCTTACGAGCTGTCATTTTTCGGCAGAAATGGGTTTTCTTCATGTATTCCGCTCACAAACGAACAAGTGGGGTTGGCCACATCGATCTTCAGTATTGGCGGGCTTGTGGGCTCATTTTACGTGGGCACACTTGCTGATTCAATTGGGCGCAAGAAGACGGCGTTGCTTCACAACGTGTTTTTCTTTCTTGGCTCAATGCTCAACGGTTTTGCCGGTACTTTCATTGCTTTGATGATGGGCCGGTTTATTGCTGGAATTGGAGCAGGGTCTGCGCTCGTCATAACATCGTTGATGATCAACGAGATTGCCCCGCCCTCGTACAAAGGCTTTTTAGGATCAATGAACCAGGTCTCGATCAACATCGGTATCTTGTTTGCACAATTCTTGGCTCTTGGATGGAATAACAACAACGACTGGCGGTACCTCTTGTTTATGGGTAGCGCCATCGCGGCGTTCAATTTTGGCGCTATTATCCTCTATGGCGAGGAGTCCCCTGTATGGCTTTTCAACAAGGGGATGGCTACTCAGGCTTTCACCACGCTTCATAAATTGCGTGGAGGAGAGTATGCTGCATCTCGCACTGAAGTCAACAGCTGGAAAACCAGCAGCTCTTCAACAGCCCCAGAGGATGGTTCACTTTTGAACGAAGAAGGTGTGGATACACGCGAGTCCGAGAGAGGAGAAAATGGAGCAATCTCCTTGAAGAAGTATTTGACCTCGTCAGAGTACAACAACTCGAAGTTGGTGGGTACCGGGATCTTGGTGCTTCAGCAGTTCTGCGGCATCAACTCCATCATTTTTTATGGTGTGTCGGTGTTGATCAATATCTTTCCGGAAGCGGCTGTTCTCATCAACTGTCTCATATCGATAGTGAACACCTTAGTGACATTCGCCTCGGCCCCGTTTGTGGATAAATTGGGCAGGAAGCCGCTTCTCAAAACATCGGTCTGCATGATGGGCGTGCTGGCAGCGGTTTTGGGGTACGGAATCTCGAGATCAAATGCAATATTTTCGATCTTGGGTACATTTACTTACATCACTTTTTTTGCTGTTGGGCTAGGGCCCATTCCGTTCTTATTGGTAGGAGAAGTGACGCAGCCAAGAGCTAAGGCACTGGCACAGAGTTGGGGCGTGACCATGAATTGGCTTGCCACTTTTGTCGTCGGATTTTTTTTTCCGATCATCAAAGAGTCTCGTATTGGGGCAGGAGTGTACTACATCTTCTCAGGTATGTGTGGACTAGCATATTACTTCATCAGTAATTACATTCCGGAGACTAAGGGCTGTAACACGTACGAAGAGGTATGGTCAAACCGCTAGAGCGAAACACAAACAAAAACAAAAACCAAAAACTAGGAAAGAGAGACAAAAAACATACTGCTTGTGGTGAGAAATGAGACGAAGAATCTTGGTCTACTGTATGGCTGGGGTGTCGGCTGCAAACGCTGGTGTGGATGCAGCATCGTCTGCGACAGGGCAAGACCACGAGACGTGAAGGTAGAACAGTGCACATGAAAACACATAAATCCCACGAACACGAAAGTACATCCTGTCCCAATTCAAACGCAAACGGCATCTACCTACTGCACAATGATTGGAAATAAACTGATTTCAGGGTCCCTTTGCCACACCAGAAAGCGAGTGCCCCCGGATACAGGGTCACGTGCGTGCGCACAGGGCAGAGCCCTAACTCTCGTCTGCCGCTCAGCGGTCCGCACCGGACAGCAAAAGATTGTGCCTGCACACACTACCAGTCCAACGGACCCACCCGTACACGCCAGGCCCAGCGGCCGTGCGCAGGCTCGCGACCTTGCGAAAAAAAAATCTTCAGCATTCTTCCTACTTTTACTTACTCAAGTCTACAGTAATTTGCAATGCCTACCAGATTCACGAAGACCAGAAAGCACAGAGGTAACGTTTCTGCCGGTAAGGGTAGAGTCGGTAAGCACAGAAAGAACCCTGGTGGTCGTGGTATGGCCGGTGGTCAACACCACCACAGAACCAACTTGGACAAGTACCACCCAGGTTACTTCGGTAAGGTTGGTATGAGATACTTCCACAAGCAAAGAAACCACTTCTGGAAGCCACAAATCAACGTCGAGAGATTGTGGTCTTTGGTTGAGGAGGAGAAGCGTGACCAGTACCTCAAGTCTGCTTCTGCCTCTGCTGCCCCAGTCATTGACACCTTGGCCCACGGCTACGGTATTGTCTTGGGTAAGGGCTCCTTGCCAAACGTTCCTGTAATTGTCAAGGCCAGATTTGTTTCCAAGTTGGCCGAGGAGAAGATCAGAGCTGCTGGTGGTGTTGTTGAGTTGATTGCTTAAGCAGTTTATCTGGACGCTCCCCTGTTTTAATAGTCACAATAAATCTCACACGTACCATTCCCGCTGGGATTCTGTAGGTTGCCGGTTGCTGATGCTCAGATTTTTGTGGACCTCTAACGTTCTGTGTGAGCTTAATTCAGCTTTCAAGGAGCCGTGGCTAAGCACTTCGATAAGGGTCCGTGTCAACTTTATAGGCTCTGATTGTTCGAGAGCTCTTGTTCAAGGCTGTTCACACTCTTGGTGCATATTGTTATGTCTTTACTACTGCGACGAGGGCGCTTACACAATCTGCAATTATTGCTGGGGTACGATGGCCATTCCGGAACTGTTGCAGCACGAGCATATACATTGCATTTAGATTTTGGAAGATGCAAGAAACCCTCGGATACTAACCTTGTGTGTCACACTGGGGACGAAGTGAAATGAAAGTCAACAATTTGAGCGAGGTCCAACAATTGGAGCTGACATGAAATATTCTGACTGGCCAGCTACATGGACTAGCTTGGGTGGGTCCTTTTTTTGGAAAGACAAGTCCGGTACACCAGTCACCTACATACGAAAGTTTTCGTGTATTGAGGAAGTCAAATTAAAATACCGATTCGGCTGATTCGACTAAATGGTTCCAGAACTGGAGCCCCTGATGAATTCTGAACGGTCGTTATGTTGGCCGAGCTCTCATATACGACGCCAGCCTAAGTTCCTCCTTTGTGTGAGATCATAACAAAAAGGAATTGTGACGAATTACCCACCAGAACGTTTTTCTCCGGCAGACTCATACTTGAGAATTCTCGTTGCCACTTCGAAAAAAGTGGTGCATTCTAATGTCTTCGTACTAGTGGTGAACGCGAATCGTTGGTGTCGGGAACAGCATGTAGGGTCTCGATGCGCATGTTCGGGGTACATTTCGAGTCACGCTTACAGTACCTGGCAGAATCCTTAGATTGCCTAAATAGACACGGGGAACCGTGCGCCAAGTATACCAGCCCTCGCCCCAGGAAGTTGGAGCTACTATCTTGTCATGCTCTGAAGATCCAACAATTGGCTCCATAAACGAAATCCCCTAGATACTTTCGAGAGTTGTTTAATGTCTTCTACTGATCCAAGTGCCATCCTCATTTGCCTCGCCTTCTTCATGAAATCCTCAGCTCCATGGGCGTGACCTTACACTATTGTGGGAGGAATCCTCTATTTACCAATCGGCAAGTATACATTGAGAGAATTAGCATGTAATAAATGTGTGCAAAAATAGATTGTCCTTCCAAAATGACTCGACAATAGCTTTATCCGAAAAATCGTAATAAACTATCTTTCAGCGAAAGTGTGGGGCAGGTAACCGAGACTGGACTCAGAGCACTAAAGATGGATCTCGTAATAGGGCCTCACAAGAGGGCCTCACAATAGGCCTCACAATAGGTCCGTACAATTATGCACTTTTTTAAGTACCTTGCGCAAGCTCACCATGCACTCCCCGTATTTACCAGAAGAGATGCGTAATTTTCGCGAGAACAAATAAAGCTAGCGTCTGTTGGATCTCGTCAGGTCTGTAAACTTCACACTCTTTGGCACTAAAAGTATGACTGAAAATCAGTGGACGCCTGAAAGGGCTGTTCCAGAGAGACTCCAGCATCTTCTACAAGAAAAAACACCGGTCAACAGCATGTTGGCCTTTGTGCAGATTGTCCGTCTCTTGAAAACGCAGCCTAGAACAGGTTGGATAGACAAGAAAATCCCGCAGATAAATGCCGAAAGCATCTCCGATCATATGTACCGAATGCTGATTATTGCTATGGCACTTCCTCGGCTGAAAGTCGATGTGGATAAGTGCGTAAAGATCGCCTTGGTGCATGACATTGCGGAGGCTCTAGTGGGCGACATCACGCCGGCAGAAAACATGCCCAAACAGGAAAAGCATCGCCGTGAGCTTGCTGCTATTGAATACATGGCTAATTTGGTGTCCACTTACAACTCTGAATTCGCAACCGAGATGACCGAGTTGTGGTGGGACTACGAGGAAATCCGCTGCTTAGAGGCGAGATACGTGAAAGATATCGACAAGTATGAGATGATCCAGCAGGCATGGGACTATGAACAAGATTTTGGTCTTTCCCGGGACTTGAGCGAGTTCTACCTCGCCAGATCGGGTATTGTGACGGAAGAAATCGGCGATTTGTGCGACGAGGTTATTCGACAAAGAACGGCGTTTGTGAAGACTCTAAAAGAAAAGAGCTGAGATGAGCCACATCTAGATACTTTGTCTTCTACGCTTTTATTGTACCCTGGGTTATTAAACACTTTTGGCGAGAGGATTTGTGATACGACATGGAACTATCCACGCATCAATAGTTAATGCATATTTATTCATTCTCATCACGAGCACAAACACATCTGGAAAGGATAGCCCCGGATCAGCTCAATCTTATGTACAACGCTCCTCTGTTCTCTGGCAGACGTGAACGGTTTTGAAACTGACCCGATCATTTAAGAAGTATTTCTGAAATGTTATTTTCGGACACCTTTGTTTTCCGCCTGCGCAGCCCCATCTGGTATACCCATGGCTTAACCTGAAAAATTTATACCCTTTAATGGACTCTTCTATTTAGATTCGAAGACACGTCCTGAAGCACTATATTTTACGATGATACAGTCAGAAACTTAATATCTCTTTCCCTTCATCCATCATTCGCTGCTTTATTGGCACAGTCTTGCATACTGACATACTAGTCCAGATCAGATCGCTGCTCCGCTGCGCATTACTAATACCCACCAGTGTTGTATAGATGACCCAAGAAATCACCGAATCAAAGGATGAGACACCCAAGCCGGTCTTTGGGGCCTCTGGGCGCCAAATAGTCTACGACAAAGATGGAAAACCGTATGTTGGGGAAGTTTACCACCCTTGGCATCTGAGAAATCGTTTACTAACTATGTAGATGCCGCACCTGTAACACTCTCTTAGACTTCCAAATGGTGTCTGGTAAGAGTAAAGTACCATCTAAGACCGAGGAAAAGATTAAGAAAACCGAAAATCCTGCTTCCACTTATAAACAAGATGATCCGCCGGATGTAGAGAAACTAGGAAGATCTTCGTGGACATTGCTCCACCTGATTGCAGCTACGTACCCAGAACACCCTACGACCAAAGAGCAGGCTGACATGAAACAGTTTGTGAAACTCTTTGGAAACTTCTACCCTTGCTGGTTCTGCGCTGATGACTTCAAGAAATACATGGTTTCCAATGAACCTGAAACGGAAACCCAGGACTCGCTTGGCAAATGGCTCTGTGGAGCACATAATGAGGTCAACAAAAAACTCGGTAAACCGCAATTTGACTGCACCTTATGGAAAAAAAGATGGAAAGATGGATGGGATTAGGCCAAGCAGGATGTTCATGCAAGTTGAAAAAAGTAAATAAGACTTGTGAAGACTTTGTTGGCTGGAAAGGGTAACCGAGTAGGTGTATTCAATATGCATGAGATACGACAACTCTGCTGTAAAAATATATAGACAAAAAGAACTCTGTTCCAATACCTCGAGATCTGTTATGCTTGTTCAATATAACGTTGTTGTGTATTCCTATATGTGTAGTAAGACTTGCTTTATGGATATGATTCACGGACTAATATATGCCCTTGATAAATCCCACCAATTCGTCGCCCACGCGTTTACTGGACGTAGGAATGAAACGATCGGCTTCCATTTGTTTTTTCAATAACACTATGGTGGGAATTTTGCTCACTGCATACGTTTGCTGAAGCTCTCTTCCACCAGGCGAATCGCATGCAATATTCGCCAATGCCACAGATTTGGACTCGTCCAACGGATATTTCTTTGAATCCGATAAAACGTCAAAAAGTGTCAGCGTCACTTGATTACATTTCTCATCCCCTGGAAAGGTGAAATTGAGTAAGAGTGGCTCTTTTCCCAAAAGAACAGTGCCCAACTCGGTAGGACGCTCTATGTATGTGGGAAATAACCTATTCTTGGTCGTGATTTGATTGGGACTTGGAGGGTAAATTAGCCTCTTATTATATTTCGTGAACCAGCCGAAAAGTGTCCTGGAAGGTATCACTGAATGACATGCAATATACATGGGCCGCAGGCGGAATACCAGTAACATTTCTGTGTAGTGATGAGTGTACTACTTTGTATGGTTTCGCAAGTGAACGAGAAAGTCTGGGGTTGCTATGACGCGTACTTCGGGTGCGGTCATGGCAAGTAGCCGCACCTTTTGTTACAATTTTAATTTTTAAAGACCTCTAAAATAGCATTTTGTGATCAGACCAATGCTTGGTTTTCAAAATTAAAAAGCTTTCTGAACTCTCTGTCTACTTTGTCAGACAATCCTCAAGATGTTCTTTTAATAGGCAAGGGTACCAATGCACCGGTCTATTAATTTTCTGCACGATGCTCAATTAAGACAAAACATAATTATAGAAAATGACTTCATTAATTTTGATTATTCAAAAGGAAAACTCTTTGATGCAGGCTGGATAGTTGAAGCAAACAGGCTTTATGTAATAACTTATATAGAGGATATATTGTTTTGTTTTGGCTATAATATTCAAATATAGTGTTTCGTGCACCCGTCGATTGGATTAAAGCGCACGCTTGCCTGGTGAGCAGTGCACAAAATACAGCACGAGAAAAGACAAACAATGTCAATTGCATAAAACCTCTGAAGAGAAGACATTAAAAAGTGCCTTTCATTGGATTATTTTCCATAAAATTTAGTTTGAGATTGATGAAACAGATAATCATTTTGGCTCAAAAACATAAATGGAAAATATGTGCCTATTTTGGTACGTCAATGTCTTCCTACGACCCAACAGACAACATACGACTCATGATTGAAAGTAAAGTAATACATTGAATATTCTCCCCATAGCTATGACTATAAAATATGACTTGCATTTCTTGGTAATACCACCTAAAACAGGTCCCGATAATTTGACTCCGAATATAAGTTGACCAATGCAAGATTAGATTGAATATTCATCAATGCTTCTCAGTTCAGAGCTTATCCCATGATTCTCAATGCTGTCTCCACAGCGGCAAAAGTCCCTGCGCTGCAAGGAACTGCTCTGAGAAGACACGGCACGATTCCTTTCCAAAAACCCCTCATACCATTGGCTGCCCAGATAGCCCTCGTGGCAGAAGAGATCTTTCCATCGTACTTCGAGTCAGCGCCAAATTTGTCACTTTGAATATTGCTTTTGATCACATCTAGGGGGTAGCTGCTAAGCCACAAAGCGTTTCCAGCCAATGCACCACACCCCAAAAGCTCTATGGTCGAAATATCGCCCCTCAGTTTATATCCACGTTGATTTATAAGACCCTGAATAAGCGACTCGTATGTGAGAAACCATACGCCATACGCTTGAACTTCTCTTATGAGAGTAATGGTGGTTCCACGGTAAAGCCCTGCAAAGCCGTGTGCACCATAAATTTTCTTCACGGTATCTTTGAGGGACGTGGACTTTGTACTTGACTGGCTGAGAATACGGAGCTGCTCTACCGGTGCAGTGACCGGGGTATTCACAACACCAGCCATGGCACCAGCAATGTAAGTTTGTGGCCAGAGCAGAAGCTGGCTTTCACCGCTATTTTTGAGAAGTTGCCTTTTGGTCTCATGAAAGCCATAGAACTGGAGTGAAACACAAGCACCCACACCGAAAAGGGGGGCCAAAGTTCCCTTATAAAAGGCCAAAGGTCCCTCTTTTGTCAAGACTTGCTTGATAATGTCTGCAGAAGATGTGGTGGTTGAAGTCTGGAGTCTGATTTTCACCAAGTCGGCCGGCTGGCCTATGAGCACCTGCGTTGCTCCGCCAATAAAACCGGCCGCCACATCTTTTGCTTTTCTGCTAAAGGATTCATCGACGGACATTTTTTCTGCTTCTTGAACAAACGAATGTCTAGAAAAGTATGAGATGGAATGACAGTGGAGCAATGGGGTTAGGAGTCCATGACGCCGCTATCGTGTGCTTCGATCAGACAAGCGCACGTGACCATCTTTTTAATGGGTGCAAATTTCGCCTGCGCAGGGGCCGTGGATGCCCAATGCGTCAAACAATACGGGAGAGTTCGACACGTCTCAAAAATGCATCTTGATTCATTTCACGACAATTCAGTCTCACCCGCTACTAGATTATGGAACGGAAGGCGAGTACGTTTGATGTAGACTATGCACTACGTATATTCTGACAAATTAATATCAAAGACCGTACAAAGTTGCTATTGTATCTGAATTGAAAGGACGGCGCCGTTTACTATTGAGTTCCAGTGTTCTTAGTCATTGAGAAGACCGCCAATGGACATCGTCTTTTTCTTCAAGTCATTGGTTCCGAAAGATTTCGTGAAGTCCACAGCGATGGAACGCGAGACTTTGGCCCCTTCGTCATTCGATGGTTCGGAGGATTTGTTCTGTTTCTGCTCAGCCGTACCGTCTTTGAGACTGGCTTTCTTAATTTGTGGTATTTTGGGGTCAACATCAAATGACGGTAGCCTGATCAGGGGTAGAGTTGGCAGAGCATGTCCAGCATTCCCCGCAGGAGATCCCCGACCGTCAGGTGTTGCATGGGCCGACGATGGCCGCGAGAGCTGCTGTTGGATCGGCGGCGTACTTGTTCTAGCGATGGGGCTCGGAATGGCGAACGTGCTTGATTGCGCCGCAGCCCCGGGCGGATAAGCATAGTAAACTGGAGCCCCACCATTGCCAATGATATGATGGGGGGCTTGGACGAGTTGCGGCTGTGGATGTGGCTGCCGCTGCGAACTTCCCGGATGTTGCACTACTGCGATTGGTTGTGAGGCCGCGAAGGGAGGCACGTGAATCACTTGTTGCTGGGAATATGGGTGCAGCGTCCCATGAAGAGGCTGATATTGAAATGCTGGTGGAGGGGGAGGTCCTGGTAGAGGGCCCGGCCCGTTGGGGACACGGCCGAAACCGGAGTACGGAGGGTAAAACGACAAGGGAAGCGTGCCCGGATGCCTGAGGTTCTGCGGCCGCGGGGCTTGCGGCTGCGACACGTGTGTTTGATGAAGGTCAAAAGACTTTGATGGCAATTCCTGGCTCAGAGTACGACTCTCTGGGTTGTTTGTTGTGACCGGGGTGGAAGAAGGCGAGACAGAGGTCGAGCCTTCGAGGCTGACGTCGCCATACTTATCGGAATGAACGCGCTTGCGGCGCTTGATTGTACTGCGCTTCATCCGGATGGGGCGGTGGCTGCCGTGGAGTCTATAATACAAGCCGCACGCGTTACAGATGGTGTTGCCGACATCGTCGCGGCGCCATAGCGGGGTGATTGTGCTGGAGCAGTTGAAGCAAGCAATGGCCACACTGTCGTCTTCCTTTTTCTTCTGCGCGGGCAGGACCGCGGCTTTTTCAAACAGCGAGCCCTTGTTCATTCGATTATCGTAAGCAGGACAGCCTTTGCATGCCGCCGAGCCGCCAGTGCCATTGCAGGAACCGTCGCCTTTGCAGGAACCTTCCTCCACTTTGCATATCACCGTGTTCGGCGGCCGTTTCAAGTTCACCGGGCGGTGGTGGTTGTTTGAGCGAAGATAGAGACCACAGGCATTGCATATTAGCGTGCCGTCGGGGGCACGGCGCCAAAGCGGCGTTTTGGTCGTACCACAGTTAGAGCAGACATTTCTTGCATCCATCTGAGTTGCTTCGTCGACTGGGGCGGAAGTCAGGGATGGCGTGGGGGATACCGCTTCGGGTTTAACTGCTTTGGGCTTGGCAGCTCCAAGCTCAATGGATGAGGGCTGTACTGCGCCGGATTGCTTCTCAGGATCCAGTGTTTCAGGCTTCTGTGTCTCGGACTTGACTATGTCGGGTTTGTGCACCCCAGACTTGATTTCACCGGAATCTAGGGAGCCAGCATCCACGGAATCGTGACTGGCCGACACCGGAATTTCAGGCGGGTGGCTGTACTCTGCGGCGCTCTGCGTGTCTGGGACCAGCCCCCGGCTTGGTGGTTGTCGCTGGGTTTCTTCTTGAAGAGTCATGCTTTGAAATGCTGTCTTACAGATGTCAATATTGTTCAGCGATCAGAGGATGGAATTTGTGATGGTGGACATCGCCTGTAGAAGAGACAACTATGATGGTGCTGAAATTGCGCAAGACAGGGTAGGAAAGTCCCGCGCGTGAAGTGTTGGAAAGGTATGGGCTTCTTCTTTTGTCCTGAAGAAAGTCACAACAGAAGTTCTTGGCGCTTGCTTTTTTTTTGCTTGAGATGACTGGCGACGATGCTGAAGACTGGACTGTGCGATCAGTGGGGCGGAAGCGAAATTGCGAATATCCGATGGCACGCCCAGGCACTGCGTATATAGAGTGGCCCGAGTGCAGCGCCACATGGAAGCTGGACCCATATCAGTCACCAGTGCGCGATCAGTTACAGGGCAACGAGACAATCGCGCGATTTGAGCCAATGAAAGGCCGCACAATAGTAAGCGACGGCACAATTGACGCACATAGATCTATAGTGTGCACCAGATAACCGTTGGGTGATTGGAGCCAGTAGACAGGCGGATGACAGATTAGGCGACACGAGGCTTTGCGGGTTCTGGCACTATCGTGGGTTGGCCCCTACAAGAAATTACGTGGATGACACGTAATGGTTTTTAAAAGGGCAAGAGGGATTGAAGAAACAAGAATTTGCTTGCCGCCGGGATCAATCACGTTGCGATGTGTTCCGTTCCATTGAGTTAACCTTATACGAATCATATCCGCTGCCATGGCTTGGCAATGCACCTTTTTCTTTCTTTCTTGCTCGCAGACGAAAAGATGCCCGCAAATCAAATTTTCGTTTTGTTGGAAGATAATGTACATTGTTCTGTGATAAAGCTGGCTTGCATCTTGAGTAGCTCATCGGACGTCACGTAATTCGAGGTTATACTTGGGACCCGTTTATACTAGTACTCTTCAAATTACGATATCTCGGGCGCGCTCAATAGTTCCACACCAATCAGGCAATCGCCCCGATCAGTCCGGTCCGGGCGGGACGCCCGGAACGAGTAAATTTTTTTTTTTTTTTTGCCTTGCAAAGTCTCACACTGATTTTCGTGAGTTTAGAATCTTGGCGTTTTTATTGAGTGAAATTTAACAAACAGAGAGAATCAAAATGACACGACTACGAAATATGGTAGGCTCTTTCTCTCGGTTCGTGTTCATTTCAAAAATATCTGCGAGAACGAGCGCTGATCGGGCTGATCTTTCCGATAACCATGTCATCCACCAGGTCGTCCAGCTGGTGATCACCTGCATAAAACAACATTGCAACGTAGTCTTTGATTCAGAACTGCCATGTGCTGACGCCACTAGAGTGATGTCTGTTCCACGAAATTAATATCACACCTGCGCCAAGAATATCTAGAATCTGAGATCAGTCGCTAAGTAATTGGCCCCGGCTTTTTTGCGACTTTTTGGATGTGCTTCTATTCGGGCCAGTAGCGGACACCGATTCTGAAAAGAATCGAGGCTGATGTAATCAGCTCAGTTGATTCTTGGAGCTTTGTAGAAAACTTCGACATGCAAGGCATTCTTTTTGGGCAGATTGCATTTTTCTTATATCCTTCATTTTTCTTTCGCATGAGGGCTCATCGCTTCTATTATCATCGAAGTTTCGAGGAGAGCGAAGTTACAGGCCACAGGCCAATTTGAGCATTTTCTAACATTGTAATTAAAAAGGAGTAGCGATGGACGTAGCAAAATTAATCCGAAGCCTAGCCTGTGCCAATAATCAGAGTTTCAGTTTGTTGAAAGAGGTTGAATCGGCAACAAGTCGCCTCATCCTTAGACGATCAACATCGCACGGGATGAAAAAGCAAAAATGAGACTTTGGTCTACAATGCCAGATTATGGCGAGTGTAAAAGGCTTGAAGTACAACAGCTTAAAAAAGACATACGCAGTGGATTTTCCCGAGTGTCGTGAATATTCAAGAGCACGAAATTATAGCATCATTAAGTTCAGTCGTCAGTCATGTATATGAACCAACACTCTTGGCTCTATGGCACATGCAATACATGATTAAGCTCATACAATTGTAAATGACACGACGCACGTCGTCAGACAACAACTAAGTTTACGCTGACGTAGCAGTATCGATGATTTGTGCTGACCTAGAATTGTAAAATACCCATGGTGCATTAGAGAATTAGTGCAATGAAAGACCAGCAATACCAACATATAAGATCGAAGATAGCTCTTGCTGCATACATGTCCCATTCGAGCCCACACGGATTGATCTACAGATCGGACTTTACACAAGATCCATGTCAAGACTACTTTTGGCAACAAGGTCTGCTACACCAGCTGAAAAAACAAACGTTCGTCCAAGCTAAGTAGATAGCGTCGTGCTGGGCTCTATGTGAGAAGATCAGAAAAAGCCTTGTCACTTCTATTGTATGTGAGCCCTGTTCATTATTGTTTCTTTTGGTACTGTAACCTCGACCAAAACACTTGGTGGTCCACTTGGCTCAGTCGGCTTCGATTTTCTACTCACTGATGAGGACTGTATTTTCGCCACTGCACAGATCCATGAACATCCAAAACACCATCAGGAGATCACATGACTTTCAAGAGGTCTTCGACATGTGCGGCTCCCATGAAAAAAAAGCGCGTTTGTTTACGCGACCTTCATGATCGCCCCTTGTGTTTACCTCGTGTCGCGCGGGAAAACAACAACCGCTCACACCACCCACTCAATTCAGCAAGCGTGGTATCTCAAGCCAAAAAAACACAGCACCTAGAACCCTATTAGCTATCAGAGCCCAGAAAAAAAAATAGTTTTTTTCGACCAACGATTTGATAGCAGCGCAATAGTGGGCTAAGGCAACTAAACACACAGAATCCTTGCCCTTCCATCCCCATCACTTCGCCTATTTCTGGTCAAAGATAGGGAGATATCCACCCTCGAAGTGTGGTCAAACTCATCACACCCAATACATCGGTTCATTATTCTGCTGCTCGATTAACACATGTGCTTTGAGCAAGTCAGAGATTGAAGATCAAGGCCCCCTTTCCACATTCAATTTTCCCTGCTTTGCTAGAAATACAGCCTGACTAAATCCTCATCCACACCAAACCAGCATGAGGCGTCAGCAAAGAATACTGAAACCTCAGAATAGCAACATTCACCAAGAAGAGCAGCTGTCCCTGAGTCAAGTCCAGCGTACGCCGTCTAAAAAAGGACCATCCTACCAGCATGATTTGGAGTATTTTACCAATCACCACTTCTCCCGGTCGTTCAATTCGTTGATTCTAGAGGACCTGGACGATCAGGTCAAGACTCGCCGGCTCATAAACAAAAGCCCCCCGTTCAATGTAAAACAAAACGCTTCCATTCAGGATACTATTGATGATGTTGCCGACATAACAAGCGACGACATCGACGACCACACACAGGAGGATTTCCTAAACTGCAATGACCCGGAATTAGATTCGCTATCAGAAGAAGAAGCTGAGAAATTTACAGGTGAAGGCAACGAAGCGCCAGGGATCGAAGGACTAAATTGTGCACAAGGGAAGCAAAAAAGGCGATTGCCATTGTCTGGTGGCAAAACTCTTCTACAGAGTACTCCTTCTAAACTTTTGTCAGAGGAGTCAAAAGCGACTAAGCCGTTATTGAAGCGGTCTTCCAAATATTTCAACTTGTCGATCGACTCCAATCTCGTCCCAGACCATTCCAGCCCACTTTTTAACCAAGATCTTAAGCTCACGCTGTCTCCACTAGCCGAGAAAGGCACACCTTTCAACAAGTTCAAGAGACCGCATAAGCTTGTTAGCCAGTCGCCCTCGCCGAGCTCAGGAAGTAAGTTCAAATTTATGGTGGGTGCGGTCTCTCCATCAAAAACAGAGAAAACCTCTAAGATGTTCAAGAATTCAAACAATACGCGTATTAAGTCGCCTTTAAGATTGGGATCACTGTCTTCTGCTTCTTCCCCGGCGGGCAAGGGATTCAATATCAAACGACTCGCTAAGAGCCCTAATCTACGATTTATGGGCTCTTCTTCGCCACTTGCAAACCACGTGTTTGACGAACAAACTGCTAAAGGATACGACGAATCTCCTCTGCGTCCTAAGAAACATATTGTGTCGAACTTTCGCATATATAACGATCAGGATGACCGTGAATCGAGCATAATGAGCAAGGTTACTTCTGAAAATAACCCGCCTTCCACGTCAGGATCCTCGATATCCGATTCAAACAAGGAAAACCAGTTCTTACTACCTTCAAAATCTGCCAAAAAGGCTTCATATAAGTTTGTGAAGCCCTTGCAAACTGCATTTGAGTCTGCGGGGTTGAGGAAGAAGAGTTCACAACCAAAAATCACGAAAAAGGCACCTCCGGAAACTCCAATGAAGCGACAACCGCTCATGATCATATCAAACGATAAGAACAGACCTCATGACTCTAATGACAGCTGCCTCAGCCTTGATCATTCTATCGAGATCGGTAGAAATATAAGCGGAACATACCTCAACTCAAACGAATCGAACTCTTCATTCTTCAAGATTTCTTCGCTGGCAAAGTCTGACGGAGACATGAAATTCGATTTCACCGAGCCTCTAGACGTAGATTCGGGGGCTATTCCAGAAACGCCAACAAAGCTGTCTAGTCGAAGCAAGAAGCTAAATCTTTTGCTTGATGATGTGAATATCAAGCCACCCATACGACTCCCTGGGGGCTCAGAGGTAGAACCTTGCACTCCAATTCTGCAGTTTCCAACCGACTCGCTCATCTCGTCTCAGGCAACTTTGAGCTTACCGAATGCATCAGGAGATTATCTGTGCAATGACCAAACAATCTCGCTTCATCCTCCGGGCCTTGAACGTGACTCGCTCATGTTGCCATCAAAGAAGGTTGCACCAAAAGATCATTTCGATGAACGACTCGTCGAAAAGTTTGGGAAGTCAAACATCAAATACATTGGAAGTGGGCAGTTCTCCGTGGCCTTTGAATGTAATTTCCAGGACCAAAAATTTGCAATAAAACGAAACAAGAAGCCATTTTCAAGTCATCACGAAAAGAAAGCATTGTTACGAGAGATTGAAGCGTTGAGGGCGCTCACTTCATTTCACGAAGGAGAAACCGAGGTTGCAGAGGGAAAAGAAAACTTGGTATTTTTTGTTGAAACCTGGAGTTCCAACAACTATTACTACATTATGACCGAGTTTTGTGAGGGTGGTACATTAAACGAGTTTTTGGACGACCACCAAAATTATAAACTCGACGAGTTTCGAGTCTGGAAAATCTTGATCGAAATCGTATCTGGGCTCAAGTACATTCACCTGAAAAACTACTTACATTTAGATTTGAAGCCAGCCAATATCTTCATCACCTTCGATGGGAGTTTGAAGATTGGTGATTTTGGTCTTTCGGCAAAACTTCCCATATTGGAGGAGGATTTCGATTTAGAGGGCGACAGAAACTACATTGCACCCGAATTGATCAATGACAAAATTTACACGCCTTACGCTGATATTTTCAGTGTGGGGTTGATCATCTTGGAAATTGCAACCAACATCATACTTCCAGGAAACGGGACACCCTGGAAAAAGCTCCGAAGCGGTGACTTGAGTGACGCAGGTAAACTCTCCAGCGACAACATCAGTGATTTCTTAAACCACAAGAACTTCTCATCGTTGACATCGTACAATTCGTCCCTTCAGTCTATAAACATACAAGGGTTGAGCCAAAATTTGTTAAGTGCGAACATATCAAGTGGCTCTCGGTCCATTCCCGAACAAGGCGCCAGCTCATACTCAAACAGGAATAATGCTGGCCTTTTTGATAAAACCTCTCAGGGACGGCTAATTGACAGTGTACGAGAGATAATTCCTAAAGGTGCACCGGAATTTCTTCTAGATAATTCCCATCGCCTAGACGACTTGGTTAGTCTTATGTTGAAGCCAAATCCCTTTGATCGCTTGAGTGCCAATGATATATTGATGCGAGAGGATTGTGCTCAAATCGAATCAAGGCGTAAAGCTGGTGCCACTATTTTTGAGGGAGAGTTTGGCCCTAATGATGACTGAGAAAGAAGACACAGCCGCGAAGTATACAATAGTCAACTTAACGGCTGAATACAAAATAGCATTATAGAATTTTTTTTTTTTGGAAGTTAAAGTTGGAGTGTATTTATGTGCTGCGTTTGTTCGTCATTACATTTTTGCTCGGGTATTGCTTCGTGTCAAAAATAATGTTTATTGCATTTTATTTAAACAAAATCTTGCCTTGTGGAAAGGCTGATGCTTGGAATGAAGAGTAAAACTCGCCTGGAAATGAATAATTCAACCAGCAGCAGGGATTTACTGAATTTGAGAGTAGCCAGTGAATGGGTTGGCGTTCTTGGACTTTAAGTACTCGTCCGACTTTTGTTGCCACTCCTTGTTCAAGGTGATTGGGTCAGCAGGAGCCATCATTCTAAGACTGGCAAACAAACCAACACCGGCAAGCAAGCCGGCGACAGTGCCCCAGAAAATCTTGCTCTTGTCGCCTGGAGCGTATAATGGCTTTCTTGGACCCCACTCACCAAAGGAGATGTAGTAAGCAGCCTTCTTCTCTCCACTGGTCAACTCTTGCCAAGGCAACTCCATTCTAGCCTTCAACTCATCGATCAAGGCAGTTTGGTCTTCTTTTGGCAATTTGTTCCATCTGGTCTCCAAGTGGTTGACGTATGCGCTGGACAATGGTCTTGGTGCTGCCTTGGCAACAGTAGAGTTGAAACGGACGGCTCTAACGATGGATTGACGAAGCATTTTTCACGTGTTTTCGCTTAAGTAATAATTGAGATGGAAGGCTATATCGAATACCGCGTCTGGCCTGGCTGATTCAATTAACCTTGCTTAGTTTTCTGCACTAGAAGACCTTTGAGAAGTTATTTTTTCCCTTTAAGAATTTTCTACCTGTGTTGTGCGCACTGTTCCATGGGGCCACTTTGCTAGCACGCTTGAAATGGAGCGCTATGATTGGCGGCACAAGGGACGCGCGGATGACCAATTCGGAAGAACTCTTTAATTCCTTCCCCTGGGCCCCTCAGGCCGATCGTATCCCCAAGGCTTACAATGGCGTAGCTGGGAGATACACAACTATTCAGATTGTAGATGATTTAGTATAGAACGAAATGATCATATTTTGTATCAGGCACAAGTGTCGCTTATTGCTTTAATGGGCGTTCCTTGTTGAATAAGCGCCGGATCTCACTAGCGCTAACACTTTCCTCAATATCCTTGTCGATAGTCCTTGCAATAGAGCGGAATTGAAGGAATAGTGCTTCCACTACTGCTTCTAAATCCTTCCAAAGAAGGTCCAAAAGATCGTGTTCGAACACGGTATCGGATGTTATGACATGTTTCTCCATCTTTCTGAGCATTTCAGCTACTTTGGTAGACATATCCTTTGCTGTGTGCGATGAACTCATCCCTCTAACAAGGATCTTATCCTCCCTTTTACTCTTGTGTTTTGGTTCGCTGCCGGTATGAGTACTCACAAACTCTTTGATCTTGCCAACGTACATACGGATAATGTAATCAAAGTACTCTTTTTCGACTGTTTTGAAAGTAACATCTAGTCCGGCTGACATGTTGGTAGATGAAGGGGAGTCATACTCGCCCAACTGTTGAAGAATGGAAAACATGTTTTGCAAAATCGCAACATTTCGGTGTGCTCTCTCTCTTTCATCATGCGTGTTGGACTTAAGTAAGGGATCGTCACGACTAAACAACTCGTTAGCTGCCTTCGTAAGCAGTGCATATGTTTGTCCAATAATAAGGGTAATTTGAGGCAGTTCCAGACCTGAGTTTCGATACTCTTGCAAAGAAGATTCTGTCGTTGTAATGATTTGGTTCAAATTTCGAACCACAGGCAAAATGTCTCCCTTTGCCCTCACATCGGACTTATTGAACATATCGACTTGTTGAGCAATGAAGCGTTCCCAATTGCCTTTATATCTCTCAGTCAACTTTGAAAGAAAGCTGTAGGCAACAAAATCTTGACTCTTGCTTTCTGCACTGGTCAGTAACTCAAACAAACCATACAAAACTTGTGTGGTAATCAAGTCACCTGGAGTGAGCTCTCTGGTGAATCTATTTATATAATTCCCGAAGATGGAATTCATGTTGCGGAGAAGCTCGTTAGAATTTGTCTTATAGTTGATAAAATCTGTATCTCCGTTGTCATATGAATCGATTCTTTGTTCGAAGGGAACGGACATCAAGAACGTTGAAAATTCATCTTCAGAAGTCAAATGGAAAAATGTACCCAAAAAGTACTGAACAACGAGCATGAACTCTGTGCTTTCTTTGACTAGCCGTATAATGGCCCTTGGGTCATTGATTTCCTCTGCGCTTTTGGCGACTGGTTCGATTGTTTTTATTTTGTTCTCCCCATTTGAAGTTGTGTTGCGGCTGAGTAGACGACTTGAGCCAAATCTAGATGATTTGGTCTTTTTGAGACCGCTCAAACGTTCGGAGTTATTCACCAACCGAGAATTTCTCTTGCTGTCACTTCCCGAATGGATCGCGTTTCGTCGAGAACTCAACAAATTGTCCAAGAAGTTGGCCATGTATGCATTGAACTTATCGTTGATGAGTATGAAATCATGTTCGGATATGCATTTCACAAAGAGATTTACTCCTGCAAAAATATAGTTTTTGCGGAATATGGGAAGGATTTTGTTGGGAAAAACGTTTGAGACATCTTTGTTAAGGTCCTCGACCACATGTTTGAATTCCCCAGTCATAAAGGTCAGGAATCTTTGGATAAACGAGAGGGACACTCCTTCGTAAGTCTGATGGAATTGCTTCAATGCTTGCATTTGGCTAAGGTCCTTTTCAGATGTGTTGATACCTATGGCGCGTATAGCGTCATACAACATCATGAGCTTGCCTTCGAGAACAGGCACCATTGAAGCATCGTCAAACTCTTTGTAGTTTGCCACTGCCTTTAAGTCGCGGTCACTGAATCTCACTTTGTTCATAATCTCACTCAACTCATTAAACAAGATCTTTTTGTTGACGGCCTCAATTTGCAAACCTTTCGAGTTATGCTCTATGCTGTTGATTTGAGGAGCTATCATTTTAAAGCTCACCTCCATTTCTTCGAAGATCTCAACCAAATTGAAAATCTCTGCTGCCGAGATCTTCACCTCATTAGCTAGAGTGTCTTTTCCGAAGTCCAACGTGGTGAGCTCCAAAATATTTCTGTGTTTGATGGAGGCCAATTCTTTCTTGAGCATTTTAAGGCAGTGCTCTCCGCCATCGGTGGGATCCCATCCAATACCATCAAGTAACTCCTCAATCTCGGGATCTTTCTTGAAGCTCATTTCTGGTTTAGGCTTTGCGTTTTTTTCTGGTGCTCGGGCTGTATTCAGCTCAGAATCCGGCCCGACAGTTGGCTCTTTCTCGTGTATAAGTGGGTGTATTTCATCATTGGCATCCGGGAGAGGGGTTTGTAGCTTTTCTGTTAAAGATTTCGGAAGCAGCTGTTTGTGAGAAAGGGTTTGATCTGGGATATGTTCTGGTGCATTCAGCTCCTTTCCAAACTGAGATACCATGAAGTCCTCGATCTCTTTGATAGAGTCGTCAATGACCGAATCGTTCCGGTCGCCAGCTTCGTTCATCTTCTGACGCGCCACATAGATTTGCGTGTCGATACTGCTGCCTGTCAAGGAGGCTTCCTCTATGCTGTATTCATCGCCAGGGTCAGGAGCGGCAGTATCTTCGGGCGCCTGAGCCAGATGGTCTGTCTGATCGTGTTGTTCATCCATATGGTCCAACTGATTCAGAAGCTGCAACCCGTATGACGCAGCAGTCTCAAGATTGTCAGATACGTCACGCGGTCTGGCCTGCTCGCGTTCCGGTTTGTAGTTTCTAAGCGGCAGCAGCAGCCCGTTCTTTTGGGTATATTCCAGGATGGTTGGCATGGTGGACCTGCTGTCTTCGAAAATGTCATTGATGCTGGATCCCAAACTGTGGGAGTCTCCGATGGAAAGCGTTTCCAGGGCTGCCTCGCTTTTTCTAGGCGACCCTCTCAGGCCTTTGACCGGAGAGTTTCTTGTTGACATGGAGTCTTTGTCCTGTACTGTGGATACGTTGATGCCATCGACAGACTGGTGGCTGGAGCTTGTTGGAGTGAAGGTTTCATGCGCATGCCTGATGCCGCTGTTCAGAGACGGGCGGTCCACGTCCATGACCTGCATCGGTTTCATCGGAAGCGTCCCGTTTGCAGTGAAGTCCATGTCGTTGTAAAGACCCACCGGGGCTTTTTGGGCCGCTGGGCTAGGGGCCGGCATGGGCGCGGAAGACCGGGTTTTGGACATTGGACGGGGCGGCTGCTGGGAGCCTGCTGCGGCCCCGGAAGGCAAGCCCAAAGACTCCAAAGTGAAGCCCTTCATCTCAGGGTAGTGGCCCGTGAACCGGTGGTAGATCACGGCCAAGTGGTGGACGAACTTCGAGAGCCGGCCCGGGTCGTCCCCCGACTTCCAGTAGTAGTCTTTGTTCAACAGCAACACGATCGCATCGGGCGCCACACGCGTCACGCAAGTCAACTCGTCGAGGTCCCACGTGCGCCCGATCTGATACACGTTTTTCTGCTCGTTATACTTGCCCTTCTGCAAGAGCACGCGGCCCGTGTGCTTCGTACACACGACGAGAACCCGCGACTTCACGGTGCCGATCTGAGCGGGCGGCAAGCCCGCCGGCGGCGCCTGCTGCGGGTACAGAGCATACTCGCGAATTAGCAAGTGGGTGTTGTATTTGATCTCGGGCACTTTGTGCCCGTCCACGACCACCAGTTTCGAGTAGCAGTCTCGGATGATGTGGTCCACCACGGCCCGTCTGGGGTCCGGGTTTACCATGGATCTGACCGGCGCAGGAGGGCCGCCGCGCTGCCGAGGCAACGGCTGCAGTGCAAAAGGGGGCTGCGCCGGCATCTTCGGTGGGTGGGCGGGCCTTTTGGACCCTGTTTGTGCCGTTTGTGTGGGCATTTGGAAGCCGCTCACACCAGGCTTGGGCCCGGACATACCTCCCGGCATCGGCCCGGACGGGGCTCCGGCCCGGCGCCCGTTCTGGGGCCTGCAGACAGCACTGGGGGCGCCTGCACAGCCAGGGGCAGCTTGGGTGTTTTGGAGCTGCCGTGGTGGCGGAATTTCAGCGGGATCATGAGGGGTGGAATGGAGGGTCTGATGGCTGATATGGTTCGCGAGTGCGCGTGCTTAAGTATGGGGCCTGGGTGGACTGCGTGTGGAGAAACTAGACTGGGTGGAGGCAGACGGGCCTGGATCTCGTGCTATTGACAGGTTGATTTTTTTTTGGAGGGAAAGGGTTGCTTCTTGCTGCGGGATTCACGCTTTCCTCTTTTTCTTCTTTTTGTTTTGAATGTTGGGGTGTTTATGGTGGGGCCTGGCACCTGCTTGTTATCTATCGGTCATGGCACGGGCTTCTTCGCAGGCTTGCGCATACTGCAAATGCTTCAGAGCCCAGGGCAGGTCCAGAATGGGCATACCGGAATGCGCGATCATTTTTGGGGGTGGGCAAGAAGCGCTCTTAGTGGGGGCTCTCTGGTCTTCACAGCCCTATTTCTTGTCTTTTTGACTTCTCGGCATTTTGCGGAATCCATGCCCTGCTGGAACCCGAACAACAGCCT